TCTTCACTAAGTTTCTTCCTACTCTTCCTTTGGATCTCAGTTTAAATATTACTTCCCTAGAGAAGCTTTTCCTAACCACCCAGATTGGGTCAGCTTTATTGGGGTCCCAATTTTGTATTTAGGGCCTACTGTCCTTTTATTTAATATTATAATTGAATAATTGATCCATTTAATATCTTCCTCCCCTCTATGACATAAGCTCCATGACAGTAGCAACTATCTGCCACTCAGCCCAGACTCAAAGCCTAGTCTGAGGCCTGGCACATAGGTAAAATTTGGTACATCTCCTTTGACCTAATTAATTAATTATAGGAAAGCCTCTTTTCCCCATACTTCTCTAGACTTTTCTAGAAAGACACAAATCAGCAGGTGTTTTACATGTCCAAAGAAAATGAATAAGGACCTAGTTGGAATTTGCAACTGACAAATGACTTAAATTTTTAAATTAAATAAACTGACAAATGACTTAAATTTTTAAATTAAATAATCTGGAAGAATCCTGTTCTATTTTGTCACTATTAAAAAATAAAAGGTAAGAATAAAACTTTTATTGTGCTACCCGTCAATGTCTGTCATCAAAATGCCTGGCTAAATCATTTATGTGCCTGGTGATTCCCAAATGAGTCATTATTTACTGACCAACAGTGATGAACAGTGCCCTCATAAGAAAATGTTATTTATTACTATTTGTAGCCACCTTCATGGCTGTCAAAATGTATGTTACCTTGTAACTATCAAAATCAGCTGGCTGGCAAATGGACATGATTTCTGCTCGTGTACATTATTAAATGTGCATTTCTTTAAAAAAAAAAAAACCCAAACCCATATCTCGTATTCAATTAGTAACTTCCAGATAAGGCCTAGTGTGATTTAGACGGATCAGAAAGATGTTCAAATAGAGTGAGACAGCAAATGATGTAATTCTCTGCCCACATGAAAACCAGGTCAAACCCAGCTTGTTTCTGCTAGTCTGACACAGCTGCTGGAGCCTCTTGCATATGCTTTCCAGCTGTCCCTGTTGTGGCAACCTTTAAATCAGGGATTTTGCCCCATGAATATGCTTCTTTCTTGGTCAAATGCAAAGCACATACTTTTGCAAGCTACTTTTCTCAGCTGTTTAAAACTGTGAATAAGGTCTAAGATATACACATCGAGAAACAAGCCATTTAAAACAACACATTTGGGTTACTAATCTTCTGCTTTCAGCCTCTTTGACTTGTAAAGAAACTGTGAGCATCAGAGTGGCCTACAATACTGGGCCTAAGTGATGATTGATTTCAGTTCTCACTACTCCATTATTGCCTTAAAAGCAAAAAGAGCCTGGTGGATGCTCCATAGAATGAGACTGGGAATTACATTCAGTGCATCTGCCATGGAAAAAATCATTGTCTTGAAATAAGGTCAGCCATGTATTCACTGAGTGGAGAGTCTGCCTTCAGAAAGAAAGGGGAGTCACAACCTTTGAGGTCTCAAGAAGCTATATCCCTTTTCCAGATAAATCTTTACTGATGCTTTAGGATTTCCAAAATTTGACTCACAAAACTAAGTGTTCTGTGCCTCCACGTTGATGTCATTCATTTCTAATATTAGCAGCAGAGCAGTTCAGGTTCACCTGAGAAAGAGGAGCTTTTGAGTTGAACAGGAGCAGATACTAAAAATGAACATAGTGAGACTTGTTTCTGGTATATCTGACATAGATAAAATAGTTAAACCTGAATAGTGAAACAATTTTGAATTAAATGGAAAAATAATTTAATCTAATTGGCAATTTTATGTGCTTACAGAATTTTTATGTAGCCTCACTTATGGGACCACTGAGGAATTAAGAAATAGAAAATCTTATATAAAGTTGTTTTGTTCTTTGGGAGGCCGAGGTGGGCGGATCACAAGGTCAAGAGATGAAGACCATCCTGGCTAACATGGGGAGACCCTGTCTCTACTAAAAATACAGAAAAATTAGCCGGGCATGGTGGCATGTGCCTGTGGTTCTAGATACTCGGGAGGCTGAGGTGGAAGAATCGCTTGAACCCAGGAGGCGGAGGTTGTAGTGAGCCGAGATTGCACCACTGCACTCCAGCCTGGTGACAGAGCAAGACTCTGTCTCAAAAAAAAAAAAAAAAAAAAAAAAAAAAAAGGTTGTTTTGTTGCAGAAAGCCACACAAACAAGCTATTGAACTCATTAGATCAAATGTATCAAATATTTGGGCTTCTATTAAACAACAGTTGTTAAGTGGCTTAGAATAACTAGACAATAGCTACATCTTCACTTAGTACCGCACAAACATGGATAAAGACAGGAGGATGCAGGTGTGCCATTTGGAATAGCAGAAATCGTTGGGATTTCATGCCCTGAGTTGGAGGTAGCTAGTTCCTCCTACCTCCTCCAGCTGCAAAGTTAATGGCACCATCCTGTGTTGGGAGTGCCTTAAGTGGTACACGTCTCACAAAGAAACTTACATCTGGACAAAGTTAGGGCAATGCACATATAGACCCAGATATATCTCATGCCCAGAAAATGCCTCTCACTTTAAAACTGACCACCCAAATTTCTTAATTGTTCTCTCTAGAGAATGAAGATATTTAGAAAACGAATTAAAGGTATTAAAGAGTTAAGGGAGGCAAAAATACCAAGGCTCAAGATGAGGACCTATCACCACTATAGCAGCATTAGTCTATAATTGAAGTTTTCTTACATTTAAAAATCGTGTAAGGCTTTCATTCCAGAAAAGCCATCTTGGGTGTTTAAACAACAGTGGAAAGAAAATAAGCCATTAGTACTCGCTAGTTTGCAGTTTGTTTTTGCTGACGGTTCTCAAGTTTGGTCTTTGAAACCTGTAACAGAGTGATCATTATCTTAAGTCGCTGCCATAAGGAAAATAGGACAAGTCTCCCCGTTTTGGGTTCTGATAAGTTTCCAGCGATATAACTTTGCCTTATTTGAGTCAGAAAAATCTCTGAACTATGAAGACAGCCTTAGAACTGTCTTGCTCTACAGTTTTCTGCAAGTCACTTCTCCCTACTGTTTTCAGAGTCACTGAAAGATACTAAAAAATACATGAAAACCCTTATCTAGATCCTTTTCTCCGTGATAACCACAAAGTTATGCAAATATAAGCCTGAGGAAGCCCCCACCTCATGTGCTCCCAAAGATCTCCATGGTAGGACATACCCCATGTTACTGGAATAACATGTTTGTTTCTCTGTGTCCCTCACTGGACTCTAGGCTCCTTGAGGGTAGAGGAACATGCCTTGTTCTTCTCTGTATCTCCATGACTTAAAAAAAAAATTCTCCCCACAATATAGCATTTGCTCTAGATTCCTACCCTTTAAAATCAGTAAACTTTTGGACTACCAGACAGGTCTTCTGGCTGTATATCTATTGATTTCTGAAAAATTACTAAATGAACAATTTCTTATACAAATTATTCTCACTGGAGCCATCCAATTATTTTTCTTCTATTTAGTGGTTCAAAATATTTTCCAAATACATCTTTATGTAACAGTTTTCTTCCAGTTAGACATATCCAATTCATATAGGAAAATTTAGCACCCTGTCTGTTGAAGGGTAAGAGTCAGAAAGAACCAGAAATCACTATGCCCTGCATTTGTTTACAGAGTAACACTTTAGCACACATTCTCATGTTCTGGCCCTACAGACAGTGATGCTAGGCAAATGGCATAGACTTCAACAAACACTACATCGTCTGAATGAAGAGACTGAACCCCAGAAAAAAAAGGGAGCAATCAATTTCCACAAGGTCACCCAACTAGCTGTGACAATGGATCAAAAGCCCAGGTCTTTCGACTCTTTGCATTTTGATGCATTTTTACTATGCTGTGCAATTAAATGTGTTGCTTAGGTGGCATTTTATAGACAACGTTAATAAGCAGAGGGAAAAAGTGCGATACAAAAATGAGAATACTAATTGCTAAGTCTAAAGAAACCAAAACTGATGACAAATTAAGGGAGAACCTGGGGTAGTTGAGCTGTGCCACCGATTTGGAAGTTGTATTTGTGTTGTTTCCTTTGGTGTGGAAGCAAGAAGGGAAATTGTATTTTTATGAGAGCTCCTTATCAGAGAATAAGGGATGCACTTTTCTACAACATTATATTTATCTCAGCTTCGCCTGCTCACTTTGCACCCTCACACAAATGCTATAAACATCCTGTCTCTGAGAATTTGTTTTCTTCTCTGACAGCTGCTAGTCAGAAGACAGAAAAATGGGTTGAGTCTGGATTTCCACAAAGACTTATAGCCAAATGAATACTAGAGCTCCTAGTTCTGTCCTTATTTAGAAAGCAAAAACATATTTATTTTCTTTAAACTTTTGGGGATAAAAACAGTATGTCAAGAAAAAAAAAGTATCACTTTAAAGAACTATCTGATGTTTCTGTGGTAATTTTATGTGATCTTGAATTAAATATATATACACACATATATATAATATAGTTAAATACATATTTATGTATTATAATGTTAAATATAAGATATAGTTAAAATAACCTAAAAGACAGTTTTGTATTTGTTATTGTAATAATTCACATCCATTAGAAGTAATATCCTGTTCTAGAAGTCAGTTTGTTAGTCAATAAGTCAGAAATATGTATTAAGGGTCTGCTATGTGTCAGGCTCTATTAGTAAATAATGTATGAATGGTTGATGAATAAGGTAAAGAAGTTTGCCCTTAAGAAATTCACATTCTAGAAGAAGAGAGAAAGCCAATAACTGTGTAAACAAGTCAATAAAGATGACAATTTGGGACTGAAAAGCTGTATTCTGTGGCGGACATTTTGTTCTGTGCTGCACCTGAGCAGATTTTGAGCTTCCGGTGCCTGAGTGGCCACACAAGGGAGACTCGTCCCAAGACAATATGTCTGCATCTGTGGCTCGGTCTGACTCATCAGGAATAATGCCAAAAGTGAGATACAATGTCCACTTAAGTATGTACAGATTCACCAGAGGAAATGATGACCAAGTGTTACTTTGTTTTTATTATAGGAATCTTGGAAAATCAGGACTCAGAGTTTCTTGCTTGGGTCTTGGTAAGTAGTCAGGGTGTGGTGTGGGGGTGGGCTGGAAGGTGGGAGACTGGGAGGGCACCAGGGAGTGATTGTAGTGCAGGCCAGGACCTGGTATCAGATGAGGAGGAGGCTTCCTGGCCAGTATTCCCCACTTCCCCTTTGAGCCTTTCTCTTCCCATCATGACCGTCTTCCAAGGAGCCACTGTGTTCATGATTCCTTATAGGGGCCCATTGAGCATAAGGCAACCTGATGCTAAAGCACACCTCAGAGGAAGGGACTCGTGTGCCACTCCCATTTAGCAAGGATGAAGGACTACACAGCACAGCATGCATTTCATACGTTCAGTTCACCACTCCCTCAATTCTCCTGATTTTTTTTCTGTTTATCCTTGTTTTCCCTTTGCCTAATTTCCTCACTTTTCGATATTATTATGCATTTTATATGCTTTTACAATCTGCCCTAAATATTTGGGGGGCAAGGTGAAATACACACAAACAAATGTACATTAATATGCATGAATAAATAAAATTGTTATTCCTCCCAGTCAATATTTAAAGAGGACTAAATAGAGATGGCAATTCTAATAGCATAAAGATGAATCTGAAATCATGGAATCTGAGTGTGAGATTGGGGAGGCTTGAGTCCTCCAGACATCCCAGGAAAAGGCAGCCCTGGCATTCTGGCCATTCAACACAAATCAAAACTGTTCTGTGGCCTAAGTCTACACCAGGATGATAACTGAGGAAGTAGTGAGAAGTGGTCAGAGTGTGGCTATGCTTTCTAGGTAAAACCTGGAAGATTTTTCTGTTGGGTTCTATGTGGAAGATGACAGAAAAGAGAAAAGTTAAAGATTGACTCTAATGATTTTTTTTTGCCTGAGCAACAGAAAGGGTGAAGTATGAGTAAATGAGGTAGAAGAATGAGATAGAAATTTAGGGAGGAGGGAGATTAAGAGATTGATTTGGGACATACTAAATTTGAGATATTGATCAGGCCTGCAATAAAAATTATCAAGTATGCAAATAGACATACAAATCTAGACTTTAGGAAGGAGAGTTTGATATATTAACTTGGGAGTCATCAACATGTAGATGCTGTTTAAGCCGGAATCCTGGATGAGAGCTCTAAGGGTGTGCATATAGACAGTATGGAAAACAGAGGCACATGGTCTAAGACCTAGGAAATCCAACATTAAGAAATTGAGAAACTGAGGAGGAGCCAAAGAAAACTGAAAATAAAGCAACCAGGGAAGCAGGAGAAAAATCAGAAGAGAATGGAGTCCTGGAATCCAGGTGAGCCTTTTGAGGAGGAGGGAGTGATCAATCCCATCAAGTGCTACTCATGCATCAAGCAAGATGAAGGCCAAGAATTGACCATCAGATTCAGCAACATGGAGGTCATTGATGTCTTTTACAAGGTGAGTTTTGGTGGAATGGTAGGGTTTAAAGCATAATTGGAATGGGCCCCTGGGAGAATGGAAAGAGACAAGCTGAAGGCTACTCTTTTGGATGATGATTGCTATAAAGAAAAGCAGAGAAATGGAGCAGCACTGAGCAAACAAGTGGGATCAGAGAGGTTGCTTTTGCTCACGGAAGAAATGACCACATATTTATACACTTAAGGAGAAATCCTTTTGAGAAGAAAAAATGATGCAGAAGAAGGAGCGAGAATATCTGGAATGATCTCTTGAGGACATGAGATGCACATGAGGAAAGAGTACATGAAAGAAGGCAGAGTACATGGGCTTTGAGGCTAGCAGGGTGATTGATAGAGTGGTGGAGGGGGAGGTATCTTGTTGAAGTTCTCTTCTATTGCTTTTATACTCTCAATGGAATTCAGAAGCAATGTCATCAGTTGGCAGTGAGGATAAGAAGGAGGTGTTAGAAGTTTGGAGAGAGGACATACAGGACAGCAGAAGAGTGAACTGACCAAGGCTGGGAAACATAGTGGCCAGACAGCCTTAAGGACCAACTTAATATCAGTGTGATTAAATTTGAAGTGAGACCTGTTCATAGTTATGTGTTTTTCTTCCAGCCATGTTCAGTTGTGCAAGTTCAGGTGGAATTTTTTTTTAAGAAGATAATAAAGAGAGGGCAAAGATGCTGAGGGCTTGTGTAGGGTAGTTCTTTTAATGGTGGAGTTGGCATTTAAACTGAATAGAAAGGGAAATGAGGACTGGAGCCAGGAAAATGAGCCACAAGATAAAATTAGGGAGCTGAGAGACCGTGAAAAATAGATAGGATCAATAAAGTATATAACCCATAGGGACCAAAGAATTGTTGAAGCAAAAACATTAGAGACACTGGTTGGAAGGATAGAAAGTGGTTGAAAAGGGAAACGCTTGAAATTAGGGTTATAGAGGGGTTCATTGACATAGTCCATGGTGTGTTCATTGGGAAAGAGTGGTGGAGGTTGTACCAAAGACAAGATCAGTGGAGGAGAGAAGGTTGAGAAACTTGGAGATGAAGGTGCAGGGAAGATCATCTCTGGGGTCACTGAAATCACTAAAAATACAGCAAAACTTACGTTGGAGAGTGACAGTGAGAAATGAACTAAAATTTTCAAAGAATGAGAAGGAGTGACTAGGGTGGGTCAGAAACTACAACCTGGGGGCCCTGGTGATGTGTGAGATGCAGAGCTGGCATGTGTGAGAGGGTATTTCAAAGACACTGAAAGGCATCAATGACTGAGTTTTTCTGATTCTTCCTAATGATCTGACTTGGGAGGTGAAGGTGGTATTTGTTCACCATAAGCCTAAGGTAATTTGACATTTGCTTAATTTATGGCTCTGACATTGTTGTTATTGACTCATATTTGAAAGACCCTGGAAATTCATTATCAGGGACATTCTGACCTTAGTTTTTTTAAATAATATCTTTACAGTAAATAATTATTCAGTATTCATTATTGAAAGGAACTACCTATTAATGTAAAGTAAGAAATATATGTAGTGAAGTGCTGCTGGATTAAGTTTTTCAGTATTTTATTGAGGATTTTTGCATTGCTGTTCATCAGATATATTGGCCCGAGATTTTCTTTTTTCGTTGTGTCTCTGCCAGGTTTTGGTATCAGGATGATGCTAACCTCATAAAACGAGTTAGGGAGGAGTCCCTCTTTTTCTATTGTTTGGAATAGTTTCAGAAGGAATGATACCAGCTCCTCTTTGTACCTCTGGTAGAATTTGACTGTGAATCTGGTCTGGTCCTGGGCTTTTTTTGGTTGGTGGGCTATTAATTACTGCCTCAATTTCGAAACTTGTTATTAGTCTATTCAGGGATTCGACTTCTCCCTGGTTTAGTTTTGGGAGGGTGTATGTGTCCAGGAATGTATCCATTTCTTCTAGATTTTCTAGTTTATTTGTGTAGAGGTGTTTATAGTTTTCTCTGATGGTAGTGTGTATTTCTGTGGGATCAGTGGTGATATCCCCTTTATTATTTTTTTTTGTGTCTATTTGATTCTTCTCTCTTTTATTCTTTATTAGTCTGGCTAGTGATCTATCTATTTTGTGGATCTTTTCAAAAAGCCATCTCCTGGATTCATTGATTTTTTGAAGGGTTTTTGTGTCTCTGTCTCCTTCAGTTCTGCTCTGATCTTAGTTATTTCTTGTCTTCTGCTAGCTTTTGAATTTGTTTGCTCTTGCTTCTCTAATTCTTTTGTGATGTTAGGGTGTCGATTTTAGATCTTTCCTGCTTTCTCCTTTGGGCATTTAGTGCTATAAATTTCCCTCTGAATGAAAAATCATTGACCAACTATTTACCCATTTGGATCTATGGTGGAAAATAATTTAGTCAGTAAATACACAAAAAACTCAACTGAAAACCCTCAAGACAATAAGACATTCAGGTGTCTGTGTAATGCCAGTCTCCACAGGTCAGTCTCCAATTTTAGTTGATTTTTGTTTTAAACTGTAGACAGTGTATATGAGCTGCAGGCATTTTAGTGAACTTTGAAACAGGCTTGATTCAGGAGCAGCAAGTTCTGATTTGAGCTTCAAGTTTTTTCAAGAGCCTGAACACTTGTGATAAGACACTGCATGAAAAATAAGAGGAAACAAGGAAGTTCATGGGGCTGACTGGCTTCATTCAAAACAGGTAACAAAGCTTGACAGCTTGAATAAGCACTCTTTGAGAACTTTTCTGAGCTGCCCCTATAAGCCAGAGGAGACAAGAAATTCATAGAAAGAAATAAAACACCAGCCTTAGATCATTTGTCAGGCTCTGCAGACCCCAGCTGTCAAATCCAAATGGAACTGGATTTACTGCTGTAGGCTTGGGATGTCAGCTCAGTCACGACCTATGTTCAACTGAGGCTTTAGAAATTACTTAGTAAAACTGCTAGGAAATCAAAAGGCTGCAGATGTTTTTTCTTGAAGTACTCTAAAAGTCATAGTTAAAGGTAACAATTCTGACTTTCTTCTCTACTAGAGAAGGAACAGCTGGAAATTCCTTGCCCTGCCAATTTTCCTTTTGGTGAACTAAGAGCATGTGTAAACGGGAGTAGAAAGGTGAAGTAACTTGAGAGTGAACTGATGGTACATCTGAAGGAACATAGCTCTGCCAAGGAGAGAAATAGGAAAAAGTATTAATATTATGTGGACAATCCTACCTGTGGGTTGCTGTGGCTGGCCTGTTCTGTAAATATACTGCCCATTATTGTGAGGACCTGAAGTCAGAGTGACCAAACTCACAATCTGAACTGTCTTATGAGAGAAACATAGTGGAATTTACATTAATTCACTCATTCATTTATTTATTCTTAAGCAAATGTTTATGACACCAGGCATTGGTTACAGGAGGTACGAGGACAAGAGCATGGACCCTGCCCTCGAGTTTCTCATAGTGCAGTGGGAGTTAGGCTTGCAAAAACAAACTGATAATATATCTGACAGATGCCATATTGGAGAGTATAGGACAAGTGAACCATGCAGAAAGTCTCAGATTTGGGATAGCTTGATAGGGGAACAGGGGTTGCCAGTTGGCTTAACACTTGAAGGGAGAAGTCAAGTGGATGGGGAGGGCAA